GTGTACAATTTGAATCTATTTCCTAGAATAGAATGATGCTATAAAATGGAATTTGGACTCATTACTTCATACCGTAAATAAATCAGAATTATTGCTAATAGATCTTTAATTTAAGTAAGATGATGTAGTACTCGTATTATTGGTGAGTAATTGTCACATATTTCCTTATGCAACAAATGTCATTCCAAGAAAACATTAGGTCAATACGTATAATTCCCACTGCACAGCCCGTTGACGATATCGTCCAAATGTATTGTCTCAACCCAAGTAATTTCGTGTCACTCAAATTTGAATTACAAATGTGGGGTCGTCGCTTACCCGGCCCGAAATTCGAGCATGGATTACAGTATTGTTGGGCTTCGGTCTAACCATTTGTACAAGTTTTCTTTTGTTCCAGTGTATATTATTACTGAGTATTTCTTCCTTTTTAGTGAACACGTGTCTTAAATTAATGTCTATATACTTTTTAACTTTTAGTTTTGGAATGATTGAAGTGAAACTGCTTTTTGACTTGTAGATAATTTTTAAAAGCAGCAGTTTTACAATTCGATGATAGCTGGCGCGTGGCGTAAACTATTAAATGTGGTTTCTACTATTAAAATTATCTAGGAATCGTTATCATCAAAAACGGCATGCGATCCCACGCAATGTCTCGTTAACTAGTGAATGCCAACATAACAGATGTTCGAGTTACAAATTAATATTGACCCATTAACCGTCATTAGATCTCCGCAAAACTAAAATACACAATAACAAAAATTCTTTTACGGCATCCTTATTGTCTCTTCAATAAAATTATCAATAGTCACCGATTTAGGTCTCTTATTTTAATATATTTCTGAAGTATTTGATATGGAGAATTGGACAAAATTTTACCTTAGTATATCATGATACAGGTCAACAGATTTAAAGTATAAACAACATTTATTCACTTTATCCTTGAAAAATGTTGGTTACAAAGCAAAAAAAAACGGATTCCCCACTCCCCCTAATGACACCCGTCTGGTGACGTCATCCATATCCAAATTGAAGTGAACTACCGTCCAAAGTTTGCATAGAAAGGGGCGAAGTCCCCTGGCACGGTGGTTGATTAGCCTGCAGTGACAAGCACATCGCGTGGCCCTGTCGCTGATCAGCCCATAAATATGTAAATGACTTCACACTATGAGAGTGCATTCGATTGGAACAATACATTAATATCAAGGTACTGAAATTATGAACTTCGCCTCAAGTTCCAAAATAATTTAAATGTATTGCTATTGATATGATCTGAGATTTACAATAAGCCGTAGTAAAAAAGATGACGTCATACAAATCGCGCCTATACGTTAGTACAGCAACAAGTGACACTGGCCATTAGTGTTTTTGGATCATAAACTCGTTATTACTTAACTATTAATCATGACAAATGTTTTAATCTATACTATTATAATAAAGCGTAAACACACACTTCTTTGTTGCCTAAGATGTCAGCAATTACAGCATGTTTTTGAATAATTATTTTTTTAATAAAAAGCCTTACAGTTACGTCGCGCTTTAGGCTATATATTTTGAATATAATTATATATATTGAAATTAGTGGGTAAATATTTTGGATAAAAGCCCTAGTACGGGAAAGAGACCATAAATTGCTGCCAACATCAAGGAAGCAAGGTTGCCAAGGTTTGTCATGTCATGTCATCATGACATTTGCAATTGATAATTTGACAAATGTGAAAAATAAAATATTTTTTTAATAATGTTATGCGAATGAATTCGTTGGGAGCAGCTAGTATTTTATAAGTACAAATTATGTTTTAAATATAAGCTACGCGCTACGCAAATTGCTACGAAATGTTTCAATTAATTTGTAATTCACTTTATACTTATTTTCATGTCGATATTAGATACAAGAATTGTTTGTTATTAAATTTATTAGAAATACACATGAAATGAAAGCACTATTTTCAATTTAAAGGTCTCTTAACGCCTTTACTCAACACTAGTCTCTAAAACTATTCATTTAGGTATAATATGTGTTCGGTTACTAAGGCTTTTTCTTCTTTAGTAAACCATTAATCTCTTCGAAATAATTACGCCCGAAGCGCCCCAACACAAACCACTACTCACTTACGCATCATAGATTTCCTTCCTTTCTCCTCATTTAACCTTTCAATTTCATCTAATTGCTAAACATTTACTCTCAATTTCTCCTACAATATTGTCTTTTTTGTTTTAATTAAATGCATTATTTATACTAATATTATGAAAAGGAAAGATTCGCATTTTTATGTTGAAATAAATTAACCAAACCGGTTTCAAAATTTCATTCACCGTTACAAAATTCAATGTCGAATAAAAATTTTACATGGACGAAGTCGCGAGCAACAGCTAGTATTTTGTATTTTCATAATACAAATAAAAGCCAATACCCAATCAGTAAAATTTTAATATAAAAGACAGTCCGTTCAAATCGCTGTAACCCCTAACCGTCTACTTAAAAAACCAACACCGTGTATTCTTTTACTAGGCATTTTATTGCGTGCTATAAACATGTGATTCACAACCAATCTAGGATGTGGTCCGCAATCAACAATAGATCTGAATCACCATTTAACTGGTTCAGATAAATTATGATTAGATTTAGGTCAGTCTCTTAAATCTACTCATGGAACTGTTTATGCAGTATTGGAATTTGTATCTCTAGACTATTACGTCTATAACCAATTGTAATCTTATAAAAGCTGGTGTCCGAAACTTTGTCTCCAATTATAATCTCCAGTATCAGTTTCCACTGCCATAAAACTTGCAGCAAAACATAATTGAAGGCTACTGATTCTGCTAAAAACAGATATGTTGTTAATATAAACAGTAATCCAAGTAGAAGAATCAAAAACTCTCAAAATTAATAACCTTTAGCAGATAGAAGATTAGATAAGAAATTTAAAGCAAATGATAATGTTGGACCCAAAAAAAAAACTGTTTCCTTCCTGTTACAAAAAGAAACAAGCAGTAAGAGGTCATAAAAATGGTTTAATTCACCAAACGACAATAATGGAGAAGTAGATCAAGCTAAATGGGCAGAGGTACGATTAATTAAAGGACAAAATAGGTAAGATCACGCGAAGTTAGCAACGATTCAGGTGCGGTGCGTTGTCCTAAATTCCCGATCATTCGCCCACTTCAGACACGACCGACTGGGCCGACAGATCGACAGCGATTAGCGATCGTATTTAGCTGGGACACGCGAAATTCTAATTAATTAAATGTTCCTGTTTTAATCTGTGCAAAGGTAAAAACATTTACGTTGTTAAATGTAAATTTAACGATTTTTTTTTATTTTAAATTATTAACCTGATTGTTTTAACAGGATTCGAGTACTTGATATCATTAATTAAAATATTATTGAACAAGCCCTTTCCAATTTTTAAAAATGATAGAATTTTCTGCACATAAAGCTCTCTCATCTCTGTTAAATAAGTTCCCAAATAAATAATATCAGTGTTTCAAAATATTCATTTTATTAAAAGCGTCGAGAAATCATTGATAATAAATTGTAACGGACTGGATAATTATGATGGTAGCGATCGACGCGTGCGGCATTAACCCAATTATGAATGTAGTTCGCATTGCTTTATGAGTTCATTAGTCCCACGGGGATTATACAAGCCCACGCTGGATTATCTAACGCCATTTAAATTCGGACCACGTATAAACAGCTAATAAAACTTAATATATGTATTCTTCCTGAATTCATAATTATTTGTTAAATTAGCATGATTAATTTCTAAACAAACTTGTGATTACCATGAAACAAATAGTTTCCAAACATCCTGTATATTGTTAAATTCACATAAATTGTATTATATTATGTGTAAATAAACCAATTACAAGCCAACCGTCATTTACAATTCACTTACGTTGAAATGTTAAAGGAGTTTCAGTCAAAAAGTATAAATTAAAAGGCAAACTTTACTATTTAAAGTACATACTTGTAACTATTTATTTAACCATAACTTTCTCTGGATACTAAAAGCAAATTTAATAACCGATGAAAGTTTACCTCACAGCTTTTTAGTGGTTAAAGGTACAACAGACTTGCGAAGGTATTTCAAAGCAAACAACCATCGTTCTTTGTTACTACTTCGAAGTTGTGACCTCGTAAACAAACGTAAACTTCACTCAACTTGCCGCTACCCAGGATTTATATTTGAACCACTTAACTACTGTGCTTTGTGTTAGGAATTTTATAAGGTGTGATGACGATGACTAGTGTCATCGAAACTTGCTGTTTTTTATAGTATAAAATAGCAAACTGCCACATAAATTTGCCAAGCGAAGTGACTGCCCATTGACATTTGCATATGCAGGTGCGTTGTCTACCTTTAATTGACAGTATAGACAGAGGATATATCCCCTGTATGCTGAGCGTCACCACCTCAGCCCAATCCACCTATCTACCTTCCAAAAACAGGTCTAAACGAGGTCTCGTATACGCTCACTCATCTGTCTTCCGTGTGGTCCTTTTGTGGTCTTTGTATTTCACCGGTGTAACTAGGCAAGCTTGAACTTTAAGACAAAATAAATGTAATAAATTATTGATCGTGTAATTTTCATTTAACATGTAAATTGAACATGTACGCTGTTCATGTAAATTATTGCATAATATCTGTCGAATTAGTGAGCTCGGATTATGTAAAATAGCCGCGGACCCTTCATTAGTACACTGATAGCCTCAATTACACAGATTTCGGCCACTCCTCTGGGACGAGAACAACACGATGTCACAGATAAAGAATTTTATTTACCTTTTATTTTAACAACACAATAAACCTATCATCTGTGTATAAGTTTAAAAAAAAACCAATAAGTTCAAAAATTTGTCATGTTGCAATTTACGAGTATAATTGGTTGAAAATTTTCACGTCAACATTATTGGTCGTCAAGAATTATCAACTACCTTCGCTATTTTGTATTGCAATATTATATTGGTCTTTACAAAATAAACAATTGTTTTTCAGAGAAGTTACCTGCAGAACTTCGGCTACTTAAAGAAGGGGCAGCCAGAGATGGCAAACCTGTTGATGGGCGACGTCGCGCAGTCATACGAAGACGACTTCAGGATTGCTATCAAAACTTTACAGGTCGGTGTCGTATTGTAAATTTATTAAAAAGAAATGCTATTTTACATATATACGTATGTATTTCAGGGTATTATTGTTCTAATTTTTAAGAAATTTTTTTAAGAATTTCTTAAAATCTATTTACTAGAAATGTTTACCCATTATTTTTATCAATAAGATATCAATATTCTTTAACAATCCTTAAAGTTTATTTTTCTGATGCATCTTTTTAAAATTTCAGGAATTTGGTGGCATTCCTGTTACGGGTGAAATTGATGAAGCAACAAAAGAATTGATCAAAAAGAAACGTTGCGGTCGACCAGACAGGGAAGAGGGTGACATCGAGGATGGTAGAAGGAAAAAGCGGTTCGCTGTGCAGGGAGAAAAATGGAAATATACCAACTTAACATGGAGGTAGGTGCATATTAACTTTTTTGTAACAGCGCCATCTAGTAACTGAAAATGAATAACGATGTGCTTTAACATAGGTTTCGCACTATGTCACCAGATGGCGAAACGCCAAGCGCCATCTAGTGGCCTAAAGTTATCAATGAATGTTTTAACTATTTGACACGAGATGGCAGAACTATTTTCATATGTTGAAAATAATCTGTAATATTACTTTGTATCTTTATTCTTTGAAAGTTCAAGATTCGCTTTCGTTTGCTGCGCCAATGGAGTTATAATATTGTTTATCAGTATGTAAAATTAATTTCTTTTAGTAACATTTTTCCATATTAGATTTTATTTTACATGCCAAAATGCATTTTTCTCAATAAATCAAAGACTTTTCCTACAGATTTCGATAAATAAAGAAGGTGTTCCCAATATTATATCGCATTGTTTCGATTTACCAGAGATGCTGTATTTTATGCCCAATAATCACAACAATAGTATTTACTTTATCGCCACATAAAATTCACGACAAATAATAGTTAAATCACGGACCTCGTAAAATTTATGACGCTTCGGCTTAATTAAAAGAATATATCCATCTGACGCCAAACAGTCCTACTTTCAATCTAATTCATAAATAAAATATTTGTTATATTTGATCGATGATTCTTTTAGTAAGCGAATTTACAAAATATCAAATTAAAGCAAGTTAATGAAAGATTGCGGCAATAGAGGCAACTAAAAAAATCTTTATTAAATTGGTCGTTACAACATTCTATTAAAACTTGAGTTTAGCTTCGTACATGAAAATCCAGCCATGTTCCCCGACGTTCATTTGAAGTGGAAACAACCGCGGAGCACGCGGCTAATTTGAAAAGTTCACAATCACCTGCACCAATCGCGGCTTCAGCACAATTTCCTGTCGAATTAATGGTCTGTCAATATTGCACTCTTCCATTACTGTTTGCTGTGCAAACTGCAAACTTACATTACAACCTACAGTGCCATCTAGTGGTGGTTTTATGAGACAACGTTTCTAATGCGAGCAGTACATGCGAAAACTTTCAAACGGTTAAATCTAATTTTATAACAAGTCACACGTAGCGTAATTATTAAAATGGACAACAAAAGTGTACAATAGAAAAATGACTTTATCTGGCTAAATAATTTGCTAACTAAAAATCTCAACCTTGTCCTGTAAAGATTTTCTATCAATGTGACAGTTCACTAACAGTATTCTGTAGAATAATAATATTAGTTGTTCACGTCAAAATCATTCTCGACAAATAATATGAGGAAATGATTTCCCGTCGTTTACATTGCCAATAGAATAGCTTTACGCAAGAACAGCTTGTCTAGTCGGTTTATATTTTAACACAATGAATTGTAAACAAGGTCCGTTATGTTTTAGACATCCGATAACGATAGTTATTACATTGAAATAGCCGTATTGTTTTCCCGGTGTCGTTGACAGCTCAGTGACAGTCGTGTTGTCCCCCGCGGCGCCCCGCAGCGCCCCGCGGCATGACGCGTGCAGCCGTGTCATTCACACAAAAAAATGACGAGGCAATCATTTAGAGATAAAATAACGATTTTTTTTTAATTCAAGTAAATTTTAAATGACAAACATAATATTAATTTCATTTCCAAGTTCACATGATTTAAGATGTGAAATATTAACAGCGAATCCAGGGCTGGGGGGGGATGTCATGGGGGTCATGACCCCCCCCATCTCTCCTGAGCTGGTTGGTCAAGAGCTTGACAAAATATATTTACATATTTTGTCAAGCTCTTGACTTGACCACGACTATGTGACCCCCACCCTATTGCCAAAACTGGATCCGCCCTTAATTACATTCTTACTTAGACTTTTAGTATACCTAAAATCATCGGTTGTTTGTTGTTTGTGTGAGTACATTTCAATGTCTAATAAAGAATACATTACGTGTATCTTACGTTCAACTATTTTCATAACTTATTATGATATTGTTGATTACATCACACATTTCACATCCCACCTCATTATTTTAACGCAATTTAAACAAAGCCCATAGTCGCTGATATATCTTAACGATATATTAAGAGCATTCGAGGAATAAGTGTCGTCGGAGCTATTAAAGTATATGACGATCCATTATTA